GAATGGAATTCCTCACGGAGAGTGGAGGCTGCATCCAAGCTCGGTCCGGATGATTTGGGATCACATCGGGAAGGGGGAGGTGGATCTGTTTGCGACGAGCAAGAACGCACAATGTCCAATTTTCTTTTCACTGTCCCACTCCCCGCTGATGGGGGACGCTCTGACATCGTGCTGGCCGAGAGCCAGACTTTATGCATTTCCCCGGTGAAAATTTTGTATTATGCAAAATCAGGGAAGAGAAAGCGTCCGTGATCCTCATTGCCCCGAACTGGCCGAATCAACCTTGGTTTCCGGACCTCAGGGAGATGCTGGTGGCTCCCCCTTGGCGGATTCCCCTCAGAAAGGTCCTATTGTCTCAAGCGGACGGCTCGATATGGCACCCCAGCCCGGAGCTGTGGAGCCTGCACGTGTGGCTGCTTCAGGGATCCTAGAGGAGCTGAACGCCCTGCCTCCTCGTGTGATTGACACGATCACGGAATGTCGTGCACCCTCTACTAGGTGTTTCTACGAACTTAAATGGGGAGTGTTTGTGAAATGGTGCTGTCATGAAGATATCGACCCTGCGAGCTGCCCCGTGTCGGATGTTCTACGTTTTCTGCAGCACAAGCTCAATAACGTGAGCCTGCCATCAATGCTGAAGGTTTATGTGGCTGCTATTGCTTCGTTTCGCTCCCCGGTTGATGGGCAATCGATTGGGAAGCATGCGCTGGTGGTCAGATTTCTTAGGGGGGCGAGGAGATTACATCCCCCACACCCACCGTCGGTGCCGCCGTGGGACTTGGCGCTGGTTCTGAAAGCTCTCTCTCTACCCCCATTTGAGCCCCTGGATTCTGTTGCTATGGGGACCTCTCCCTCAAGACTGCTCTGCTTATTGCCCTTGCCTCGGCTAAGTGCATAGGAGATTTGCACGCGCTCTCAGTGGATGAGTATTGTATTCGTTTTGGACCCGGGGACTGCAGTGTTACTCTCCGGCCCAAAGCAGGCTACGTGCCAAAATCTCTTTCTACCCACTTTAAGGTGCAGGTAATTTCTTTGCCTGCTTTATCTGCTGAGCCGTCGGCCTCACGTGACGCCAAGGCTCAGAGCGTCATTTGTCCTGATAGGGCCTTAAGGATCTATATCGACCACTCGGACGCCTTTCGTCAGTCTGACCAGCTTTTTGTGTGCTATGGTGGCTGTAACACAGTTCGCAGGTCGGGAAGAAGGAGGCGGTAACCGTCAAACATTTAAACATAACTTTAATAATAAAATAAACACAAAACTGAAAATAGCGCAACAGCCCCTCACAGAAGACTGCCGCGCACAAACAGATACAAAACAACATAAAATCCAGGCCTGGTCCTCTCTCGTCCTTCACTGTCGTTACTTCTTCCTTTTATCCTTCCGGAGCTCCTCCATGGGACTTGAAATCGGTGTGTGGCGCAGGTGTCGCTCATTACCATATACTCCACCGGCCTCGCTCCGTTCCCACGGCTCTCGGCTCTGCCCCACTCGTCACAGTGGCTGTGCTAGGGGACGAGCAGTATCTAAGCAGAGGCTTTCTCACTGGATAGTGGACGCTATTGTGTCGGTGTATGCGAGCCAGGGACAGGAATGCCCTCTCAACGTCAGAGCCCTTAGAACACAGGCTATTGCTTCATCATGGGCCTGGTCTAAAGGCACATCTATTCGGGATATATGCTTTGCAGCTGGCTGGTCTTCTCAGAACACTTTCATCAGGTTTTACAAGCTGGATGTGCCGTCCTTGGTATCCCAGATGCTTTCGGTGAGTCTCTAACTTCTTTTTGCTAGGCTTGTCATTAGCGCAGTTGTTACCATGTTGCTGTTGACACTGTGCAGGCTTATGTGCATTTTTATATATGCCTTGTACAAGTTGTTACCGCATTAGCTGTTGACACTGTGCAGGCTTATGGACATTTGGACATATGGACAGAAATCTTACTGGTTTCTTTTTTGTATGAATGAAAAATATGTATCACATTAAGTTGATTAGTTTATGTTAAAAATGTTTATGCAACTCAAATACATAAATTTAGGCTTAAATCTATGTTTTGGGTGAAATTTTATTTTTGGATCATTTGTTGCATTATTTTCTTTACCTGTCTCTCCTGGCACATTCCCGTTCATACGGGGTCCGCCGCTTTGCTGTGTCATCTCCATTTGGCTCAGTAGTGGACGTCATTGGCGTGCATGCCATAGCTGATGCTATTCATCTAACGCTTCTTTGGTCTTCCTCATTTTTTCTGTGATTGGTGCAACTCCAAGTCTTCATGCATTGCATGGTCAATGCAGGTCAGTCCAAGCAATCACTGGAGCAACTTCTACTCCAAGACATGCAGGGCCTGTTCATGCTTCTTGGTCATTGCACCGTATAGGGTGACTAGGTGCACAACAGTCTTGTAGATCTTCGCTTTGATGTATTCTGGCATTTTCTTGTCGCAAAGGACCCAAGTGCGACAGGGTGTCCAAGTGTCTCCACTTCAGCCACGCCTCAATGATTCTTGCCCTGGTATCTGGGATGGTATCACCGTTCAATGTGACCAAGAATCCCATATATTTGAATTGGGTGCTTTTCTTCAAATCCTGGCTGTTGATGCTGATGGTGCTGTCAGTCTAGGGGCCACACTCCAAGTATTTGATCTTTTTGGTGTTGAGCGTTATTCCATTGTCCTTGAGCCTGTGACATGACCTTCACGCTCGCATTAGATTTTGGAGTGGCGTGTGGGTCTTGTTCGCTTGTGCTACATTGTTCGCCTACAGGAGGGTCCAATGGCCAAGCTTGCGGCTTTGGCCATTACGCATCCCGATGTTGATGGTAGCCAATTGAAAATGCTGGACTTGCTTCTTTGGCCTGCCCCGTCCTTGAGCAGGTAGCCCTTGCATTCTGTGTCACGCGTCACCTCAAGGGGATGCCCTAGCTTGATGAAACAAATTTGATGACAACATTGCACATAAGACGCAACAAAAGAGATTCACTCCTGATGTGTCGCACTGTCTGTCGCTGGTGGCCCCCACTGTTCACCAAGTTTCCCAAAGGTTCCTTGTTACCATCTTGCACTGCAAGGAGGTGGTGGTGGGTTTTTGCCAGCCTTATATTTTCTTTAACTGTATGCCTCAATATGTGTTGGGACACACTTAACCATGTGGATGGTTTCATTTTTAACTTTGTAAAAAGAAATGTGACCCCACTGTGTCTAATTGTTGCTGTGTTTTAGTCTAATTCAGGGTGAATCTCCTGAGCCCAGCTGTGTGTCCATAAAGAGTTATGAATCAAAAGATACACCAGTTAACTTCAGGGAATCTTCAGTTGATATCAGGTGAGTATAGTATCATGGTTTAGAATAGTATTTTTCCACCGTTAATTATATAAAAAATGTGGATAAAGAAAGCAATATTAAAAGATTAGTTCACTTCCAGAATAAAAAAATCCTGATAATTTACTCACCCCTATGTCATCCAAGATGCTTATGTCTTTCTTTCTTCATTCGCAAAGAAATCCTGGAATGTTTTCCTCAAAAACCTTAATTTATTTGCGACTGAAGAAAGAAAGAAATAAACATCTTGGATGACATAGGGGTGAGTAAATTATCAGGACATTTTTATTTTGGAAGTGAACTAATCCTTTAAAGAAGTACTTCATACAAAACTTGCTTCATATTAATGTAGTGTATATTTGTGAGGAACTAATTTAAATGGATCAAACAGAGATTATCTGAAATTATCTCACTGTAGTTCAGTGTTTTCCAATCCAGTTCCTGGAGGCATACCAAAAGTACACATTTTGGATGTCTCTTTTATCTGAACCATCTACTTCTGAGAGGAATTCCAGAAAGCAGGTTATGTGACATACATGTAGTAAACTAGTGTATAGGTCAAATTTTACATTTAAATGAATGGACTTTCCCAGCAGAACTTTGCCCGGAGCATCATATTCCCTCCAAAGACATGAACTCTGGTGCCATTATTTCCCCAGGTAAATGGAGTACATGTACACCGCCCAACACTGGTTTCTGGTTTGTCCCTTGTCCCTCCTCTAGGCCACTATTGGTAAATTCTCACCACTGCTGACCGGGAGCAACCCACAAGCCTTGCTGTTTCAGAAACATTGTGACCCAGTCACCTTGCCATAACAATTTGTCAAAATCGCAAATCTTTATTCCTACGCATTTCTTCTGCTTCCAACACGCTGATTTATGAGAACTGATTGTTTGCTTAACATCTAATCTACCCAGACCTTAATATGTGGCCGTGTTAGGAGATGATCGGCAATATTTGCTTCACCTGTAACTGGTCATAATGTTTTGGCTCATCAGTTTAAATCCTCGCATGTGTTTTGGAACTGATGTACCTAGAGTAAACGAGGATTGGGTTAATGAACTGAGAGTTCAAGATACATGTGACGTAGGGCTGCACGATAAATCGCATGCGATATTTAATGCGCATCTTGTCAGAAAGCCGGTTCTGTAATCAGCGGTAAATCTCCATCAGGTGCGTGCTTTCACATTGAGCAGCATTAACTACACAGAGCCGTTGTTCACTGACGAGCTGCGCAAAAAATCGCACCAATATGACCGTGGTTTTGCGCAGCTCGTCAGTGAACAACGGCTCTGTGTAGTTAATGCTGCTCAATGTGAAAGCACGCACCTGATGGAGATTTACCGCTGATTACAGAACCGGCTTTACTGATAAGATGCGCATTAAATAGCGCATGCGATTTATCGTGCAGCCCTAATGTGACGGTAAGTTAAACTTGCCTTCTGGAATACCCCCCTGGTCTATCCGGAGTCTCTGCTTATAAGCTGATAAGTTGAATCCGGTGTGTTTAATTAGGAAGAGTTCATGAAAAATGTGTACTGTTGATGTGCTCTCAAGATGCAGGGTTGGGAAACACTGTTGCAGTTTATTATACTGAGAAAAATACATATGCATTCATAAATGTAGTGTTGTGTATTAAATGCTTGAATAAATATTTACCAGAATTTCCAATGTTCTCAGTAACAAACAGGATGGATCAAACTCCCTTGAAAAGAAGAAGTTGGACTCCATGTTTAAGGTAGGAGTGGTTTTTGTGTTTTTGTGGGTGGGATATTTAAAAAAAATTCTATGTCTCTTTGTCCCAAAGTGCATACTATCCATCCTAAATAGTTTTGAGATTAGAATAACTTTGTTGCAAAACACAGTATGTTGAAAAGAGTATGCCAGAAGTCCCTGGATGGTTACTATTTTCACAATATTTTTTTGTGGATCCATGCACACTCTAACAGCTGATATTTCCCACAACCCATTGCGCTTTGGAGGAGAATTCAGTTCAGAACTACAAACACAAATAAGAACTACAAACATGATGAATGTGCATGAGGCTGACTGTTAAGTTGAGATACCCTGAAAGAGGTTTGAGTTATTATAAATTCATGTTTAACCTGGCGAAAAATATTTATTTAATGATACCTATGTTGTATTTCATCTGCAACAATATTGTGATAAATATACCAAAAGCACAGAAGCAGATATGTTTGGCCATTAACTATTATAGTTTTTCTCAATCGCTTTGGCACGTTTTTCGAAGCAGTCTTGACATTCTCCAAACTTTGTGCAATTGTCACAACTGTTTTCTGAAACATCAGAACACTATTGCATGTCTGCAAAATGTAGTAAATCACCCAAAACAACCAAAACCTAGTTATTGTGTCTGTGACTTGGCCTATGCCACCAAAATATAAAGTATATTTGTCATCGTGTGACCCACACTGGTCAAAATGATTTGTGGTGAAATTAATGTTTTTTCACCATAGAAATATTTATATGCAAATTTCATTTCATTTCGTGTTATATGCAAAGTTAATTTTGTTATATATTTTATATTATATTTCATTTCATATTTCATATATGCAAAATTTGTTCTACTTTTTTGTTGACAGACTGCTTTCTATACTGTACAAGAACGTCAGTTTTGTCTGTATATCACACTGCGCAGTTTAGATACATATTTCAACAGTAGGTAAAAATGTATTGGGAAATGTAAAAAAAAAAATGTAAAAGTCAATACAGTCGGTGCTGAACTACTTGAATTCGTTCAAGGGGAAAACAGTGGTTCCTCTAAAATAATTTCAGAGTCTCCTGGGGCAATTGGCATCCGCAGCCACAGTTACGCCGCTCGGATTGCTATATATGAGACTTTCTGAACAGCCGAGTCCCAAGATGGGCATGGCGCTGCGACACACACTGCGTGGGCATTACCCCAGTTTGTCGCCGCCTTTTCAGCCCCTGGTCGGACCTTGCTTTTCTACAGGCAAGTGTGCCCCTGGAGCAAGTGTCAAGGCACGTTGTTGTCACAAAAGATGCCTCCAAGATTGGCTGGGGTGCTGTATGCAATGGGCACGAGGGTACTCTCTCATCGCATGTTGCAACTCGCCCGCCATCTCCTCCTTTGGAGTCAAACATGGCTCAAATCGCTGCATGCCGTTCATGTTCCAGGAGAGCTCAATCATGGAGCTGACTTGTTCTCACGACAGCTTACTCTTCCGAGAGAATGGAAACTCCAACCCCAGGTGGTCCAGCTGATTTGGAGTCGTTTCAGGGAAGCCCAGGTGGGCCTGTTCATTTTTGCCAGGAATCCTCCCACTGCCAGCTGTTCTACTCCTTGACCGAGGCCCTCCTCAGCACGAACACACTGGCACACAGCTGTTGCACACAGACTCTGTGCAAGATCAGGAAGGATAAGGAGCAGGTCCTGCTCGTTGCGCCATATTGGCCCACCCGGACCTGGTTTTCCGATCTCATGCTCCTCGCGACATCCCCTGTCTGGAGAATCGCCCTGAGGAAGGATGAGACGTGGCAGACCTCATTGACCTTTCACAGGCTGTGATAGACTAGGGATGCACCGATACCGATACTGAGCTCCTGTACTCGTACTCGTACTCGTTAAAATGCCCCGATACCAAATGCCGATACCACACAGCATGTGATAAGTGCCATATTCAGACAATGAAACACCGACAACAGAACAACAGACAGCAGAATGGAGTTATTAGAGATTAAGGATGTCTACGAAGTATATGTATGCAATGAATATAATGTTAAACATTCAGTATTAACGCCTGTATAGCTGATGTGCGCGAGCTGATAAGCAAAGCACGCTGAGTGGATTGAGGGCGCGGTGGCGCAGATGCACGAGCTTGTCGAGTGAATATATCTTTCTCACAGACATCACTGGAAATTTTGTAGTTCGGGCAGATACGTCAAAAACAAGTAAGTAAAACAATGCACAAGTTACTTAACGGTAGGGAGAGAAAGAGAGAGAGAGAACGAGAGCGCGCGCAATTCTGTTGTGTGATCTTTGATGTTCACTCACTTAGCACACGCATCATTTGGATTAAAACTAAATCGTAAAAATAAGACCATTAATAGGGGCATTCACTATAAACATCATTTATTTTTAACCTTAGGCATACACGACTTTCTGGCGGAAGTGAATCTAGCAGCCTGTGTGAAATGCGCTAGGCTGTATTATTCTGCATCAGTACACATACGTGCACGTGTTGCGCGTTTTGCTTGCTTGAGTGTTTCTGCATTATATGAGTGGCTTTGGAATATAAATCGCAGCACGTTTCAGATGAAAAAAAATGCGACTTCTATTTCTAAAAATATATCAGTTAGGAGATGTATAACGAGTGGTTCCCGGTATTATTACAGCAAAGCGCGTGATTACAGTACTAAGCCGCTGCAATGGAGCAGCTCTAATGCTATTAAATTAAAGATGATGTACCACAGAGCAAAAAATTAACAGTGAAAGTAACAAAAACTGGTGACAGCATGCCCAGGAGACTACAGGCTGTCATTAAGGCTAAGGGTTGCCTGACTAAGTATTGATAGTTGTGTAAATACTGTCATACTAACAGCTGTCTAATTTTTGGTTGATTGTAATCCATTAGGCTACATACCTTTCTATCAAAGTTATCTAACATTAACAAGCTGAATTTGTTCTGACACAGTTTAACTCTGAGTTCTTGTTATATTTTATTACCATTTTCTAAACTATAGCGAATAAACTGTGATAATGTGAGAAATGTTGAAGGTGTCTGAATACATTTTGGTTTGACTGTATCTATTTTATAAATGAAGTTAACCAAATAACATTATACATACTCTTTCGGTTTCTGTACCCAATATTTTAAAAATGTACAAATGCAATAAAATATTGGTATCGGTACTCTGTATCGGCAAGTACCAAAAATAAAAGTATCGGTATCGGGCGAGTACTGGAAAAAGTGGTATCAGTGCATCCCTATTATAGACACTATCACTCAGGCTAGATCCCCCTCTACTAGGCAGGCTTATGCGCTGAAGTGTTCATTGACTGGTGTTCTTCTCGTCGAGAGGACCCCCAAAGATCCCCGGTCAACGTTGTGCTTTCCTTCCTGCATGAAAAGTTGGAGTGGAGGCTGTCCCCCTCTACTTTGAAAGTGTATGTCGCCGCCATTGTGGCACATCATGATGCAGTAGATGGAAGATCCTTGGGGGAAGCATGACCTGATCATCAGGTTCCTGAGAGATGCGAGGAGATTAAATCCCCCTAGATCACACTTCATACACTCTTGGGATTTCTCTGTGGTCCTTGCAGGACTACGGAGAACCCCCTCTGAGCCACTTGACTCAGTTGAGCTTAAGTTCCTGTCGTTTAAGACAGCGCTCCTGGTCGCGCTCACATCCATCAAGAGGGTTGGGGACCTGCCTTGAGTTTGGGCCGGCTGACTCTCTCCTGGCATTACTCTGAGACCCCGGCCTGGTTATGTGCCCAAAGTTTCCACTACTGCCTTTCAGGACTATGTGGTGAACCTGCAAGCGCTAACCTTGAAGGAGGCAGATCCAGCCCTTGTGTTGCTGTGTCCCGTTCACCCTTTGTCTGCTTTGGAGGTCAGCAGAAGGGAAGAGGTTGGCCCACTGGCTAGTGGATGCCATCGCCTTGGCATACCAGACCCAAGGCGAGCTGTGCCCCCTGGGGGTGAGAGCTCACTCCCCTCTTGAGTGTTGCCTCCTCCTGGGCATTAGCGCACGGCACCTCTCTAGCAGACATCTGCATAGCTGCAGGCTGGGTGACACCTAATACCTTTGCAAGATTCTATATTCTCCGGGTAGAACCCGTTTCCTCCGATGTGTTGGGTATGAACATGTAATTTGCAGGAGGACTGGCTCTGTGTTTCACTTGTGGTGCCATTCCTCTGGCTAGGACACATGTGCTTTATCTTCTTCCAGTGAGTTCCCCATCTGGTGAACCCTGGTCAAGTTTCTCCAGCACCATATGGCATGCAGACTCAGCGGAGGAGTCTGTTGCTGGGTCCAGTACTTATGTTGTATGCCATTTTGTCACCACTTGTAATGGGCTAGGTGCCCATACATGAGATTTTCCTTCGGTAATCCTGCATGTTCTTTTTTTCTTTTATGTTCCCTTGGTAAAACTGTGTCTTTCCCTGGTCTGTTCCGCTGTCAGTCCCTGTTGTGTTCCCCTGAACTGGGGTCAGGACAGTGACCTTAGACTGTGGGTCTTATTTTGTTTGTTTTACCTTTATTTAATCAGGAAATTAAAAACTCTTGATTTAAAATCTCATTTACAAGAGGGTTCTGGCCAAGATAGGCAGCACAATCATGTACACATAAAACAAAATACATTCGTTTACATACACAGAAACATACAAAAATCACTCAAAAATGTACAATCAGGTGACTCTACAAATAGATCCTTTAAAATACATTTAAAATCATTTAGTGATATCAACTCTTTTAAGCATAACTTATCTTGTAGTTGATTCTAATCAAATGGAGCAGCATAACTAAATGCCCGTTGACACATATTAGTACGAAATTTAGGGATGCTTAAAAGATAATAGTCTTGTGAGCGAAGCCCATAATTCTTTACACCTTTTTGAAAGATATTCTGCTGTAAATACGAAGGAAGTAAACCTACAATTATTTTATATATAAATAAGTACCAATGCTTAAGTCTACAGGATGACAATGCTGGCCATCCAACCCGAGAGTACAATAAACAATGATGAGTAAGGGCTTTTGAATTTGTGATGAACCTTAATGCTCCATTTCACCCAAAAATGAAAATTAGCCCATGAATTACTCACCCTCAAGGCATCCTAGGTGTGTATGACTTTCTTCTTTCAGACGAATCCAGTCGGAGTTTTATAAAAAAAATTGTCTTTGATCTTCCAAGCTGTTTAATGGCAGTCAGCAGGTGTTGCAGTTCATCAGTCCAAAACAAGTGAAATAAAGCGCATCCATCCATAATAAAAAGTACCTCACACGGCTCCGGGGAGTGAACAAAGGCCTCCTGTAGTGAATCGATGCAATTTTGTAAGAAAAATAACCATATTTAAAACGTAATAACAATTGAATCGAGCTTGCGCTCACTGTTGTACACGGAAGCAGCTCTGGGCGGATGACGTAGAACGTCGGCGTTGTGCATGCGCCGCTCAGAAGTGACGAACGTGGAAGCACAGGGGAGAGATCAAAACAAAACAACGGTCATGAATTAGAAGTACAAAATGAGGATTTGTAAAGAAGAATGTCGGAGGATTTCGATATAATCCAAGAGGAGACTGGTTTTCCTTTACTAAAGTAAAGAAACTTTGCTTCTTTTGCTCCAGTAAACAAACGTTAGTTTTCACGAGACTCACTGGCGCATGTGCAACGGCGACATCTTACGTCATCCTCCCGGAGCTGCTTCCGTGTACAACTGTTGGCGCAAGCTAGATTAAAGTGATTATTATGTTTTGAATATGGATATTTTTCTTACAAAAACGCATCGATTCGCTACAGGAGGCCTTTGTTCACCCCCCAGAGCCGTGTGAGGCACTTTTTATTATGGATAGATGCGCTTTTTAACTTCTTTTGGACTGATGAACTGCAACACTAAACACCGCTGACTGCCATTAAACAGCTTGGAAGATCAAAGTCAATTTTTAATATAACTCCGATTGGATTCATCTTAAAGAAGGAAGTCATATACACCTAGGATGGCTTGAGGGTGTGTAAATGATGGGCTAATTTTCATTTTTGGGTGAACTGTCCCATTAATGCTCCATGATAAACTGAATCCAACGCCAGTCTTGTGATTTTTATTACTACATGGATGTGTCTTATAATCCTGTATGTACGGGGAGTGGCTTGGTATGCAAATTCAACTCACCAATAGTCATTGGTCATTTCTTGTAATGCTCAGAGGTGATTGGGGCTCCCAAGTGAGACCCCTAATGTCAGTGTTGACGTAACGTCTCCGTTCCCTCCTTCAGGGAATGAGGGTTACATAACTTAACCGAGGCGTTACATTACTAACTACAGATTTCATCATGTATTCTGTAATCAGTAACAAACTACAATTTGTAAGTAAACTATACAGCTCTGCCCGATTTGTTTTTCATTGATCCTTCAGTTCAGCCTCTCTTTTACTGAATGGAGGTTCTCTTTTGAATATTCACTGTGATTACACACTTATTTCAGGAGCTTCAGCCCAAAATGATCTCTCTGATGAAAAAAGAGCTGAAGAGGTTCAAGAGAATACTGAGTCCACATTACCCAGCATGCTCTGAGATAGAGCAGGACGATGATAAAGGTCAGGACAGAATCAGACAGGGGATTCTGAAAATAACACTGCACATCCTGAGGGAGATGAACCAGACAGACCTCGCAAACACATTACAGACCAGTAAGAACTATGAATCATTTGCCTATTTTATTACATTAAAACACAGTCTGTATGTAATGATCACTTGAGAAATCAAAATAATATTTGGATAAAGGCATGCAAATGATATGTCAGTAATATAAGCATAAATAAAACATGAAATTTAAAAAGATTCATTAAAATAATTTGTCATAAATGAGAATTTCAGTGAGGATTTTTCATGTTTATCAGTAACTTTACCTTTGGTTTTATATTTGTGAATAAGAACATATATTTGGTTGTCATTCATTCTTTCAGAATGTGCCCCTGCATGTCAACAAAAACTTAAATCCAAACTTAAAGAAAAATTTCAGAGAATTAACGAAGGGATCTCCAATCAAATGAGCTCACCACTTCTTAATGAGATCTACACAGAGCTCTACATCACAGAAGGAGGGATTGGAGAAGTCAATAATGAGCATGAGGTGAGACAGATTGAGACAGCATCCAGGAGACCAGAGACACGGGAAACACCAATCAAATGCAATGACATCTTTAAAGCCTTACCTGGACAAAACAAACCCATCAGAACCGTACTGACTAAAGGAGTTGCTGGAATTGGCAAAACAGTGTCTGTGCATAAGTTCATTCTGGACTGGGCAGAAGGAAACACTAATCAAGATGTCCACTACATATTTCCACTTCCCTTCAGAGAGCTCAATGTGATGAAGGAGAAAAACATCAGTCTGATGGACCTTCTTAATCTTTTTTTCAAAGATGCCAAAGAACTGAGACCAACAGACTATGAGGATTACAAAATTGTGTTCATATTTGACGGAATGGAGGAATGTCGACTTTCTTTAGATTTCCCAAAAAATCCAAACCTGTTTGGTGTAACAGAACCGGCCTCTGTGGATGTGCTGCTGACCAATCTCATCAAGGGGAATCTGCTTCCATCAGCACTCCTCTGGATCACCTCTCGACCAGCAGCAGCCAGTCAGATCCCTCCTGAGTGTGTCGACCAGGTCACAGAGGTACGAGGGTTCAACAACCCTCAGAAGGATGAGTATTTCAGGAAGAGAATCAGTGACCAGAGTCTGGCCAATAGAATCATCTCACACATGAAATCATCAAGGAGCCTCTACATCATGTGCCACATCCCAGTCTTCTGCTGGATTTCAGCCACTGTTCTACGGAGAATGTTGTGTGAAGCAGAGAGTGCAGAAATCTCCAAGACTCTCACTCAAATGTTCACTCATTTCCTGATCTATCAGACCAAACTTAAGTCTCTGAAGTATGATGGAAAATGTGAAGTAGATCCTCAACTGACTCAGAATAATATTATGTCACTAGGAAAGCTAGCTTATGAACAACTAGAAAAAGGGAACCTGATCTTCTATGAGGATGATTTGAGAGAATGTGGCATTGATGTCAGAGAAGCATCAGTGTACTCAGGAATTTGCACTCAGATCTTCAGAGAGGAGTTTGAATTTTACCTGGGGAAAGTGTACAGCTTTGTGCACCTGAGCATGCAGGAGTTTCTTGCTGCTCTATTCAAGCTCGTTTCATTTATTGGGAACAAAGAGCACAACTCAAAAATAACTGAGTTTTTAAAGAGTGAAGTGAACCAGGCCATACAGAGTGAGAGTGGACACCTGGATCTTTTCCTCCAATTCCTTCTAGGTCTCTCATCAGTGTCCAGTAAGGCTCTTCTGCGAGGCTTGTTGGCACAGAGAGATAGCATGTCCTCCAGCCAAGAGGAAATAGTTGAGTACATTAAGATGAAGATCAGGGAGAATTCCTCTCCAGAGAAATCCATCAATCTCTTCCACTGTCTGAATGAACTGAACGATCATTCACTAGTGCAGGAAGTCCAGACATACTTGAGCAAAACAGGTGCAAGCCGTCTGTCTGGAGCCAGACTCTCTCCTAGTCAGTGGTCAGCTCTGGTGTTTGTGTTGCTAAACTCAGATGAGGAGCTGGATGAGTTTAATCTAAGTAAATATGATCAATCAGAGGAATGTCTTCTGAGGCTGCTACCTGTAGTGGAAACATCTAGAAAAGCAGAGTCAGTATATTTAATATATGTATCTTTTTTGTGCGTGTGTGTGTGTGTGGAATAAACTACAGTTCTCAAACACTGTACAGTACAGAAGTATGTATTAAAATATACATTTAGAAATAATAATAGAATATGCACTACATGTATATACACAATTTGTATGAAATTAACACAATAACACAGTTATAAACAAAAAAAATTATATTGCATAGATCACTGTTATGATTTATTTAGTTATATAGTTTGAAATGATTTAAAAGAATCTATAAAATTGTATGTTGCTTACACTGAATATATGGTTATTTCTTTCCTAGTCTGAGTGGCTGTGGTCTCACAGAAAAAAGTTGTTTGGCACTGGCCTCAGCTCTCTCCACAAGTCTGAGAGAGCTGAACCTGAGTAACAACAACTTAGAAGATTCAGGACCGAAGCACCTCTCTACTGGATTGAAGAATCCTCAATGTAAACTGGAGACATTAAAGTAAGATTCCTTAAAGCAGTCACAATAGGTTTTACTGGCCTCAGATAACAGGAATGTTGCACTTTTGGATTTATGAACTCTTTTGGAGATATAATATAAAGTTGTTAAATAAAAATTTGTAAAAATTGTTTGACATTATTATTTATAGCATGTAAAAAGGCACTGCATGTTAAAATGCTATTGTTACAAACTACCAGGCATAGGCGTAATTTGCGGGTGGGACGGGTGGGACATGTCCCCACCACTTTTTGCCAGGGTCGATATTGTCCCTACCACTTTTTGAAAGTAATTGAAAAATATATTGCGGAAGGTATGTATTAAAGGGAAAACAATATCAACAAATCATTCTTCATTATCTAATTAGGGTGATTAAAAAACAACAACATTTGACTCCTTACGCATGCATAACTCGTGCAGTGCAATAACGACGTGATTAAAGATTTTTCTAGTCAACTAGTCGCATGTTATATTAAATTGATTAATATAATAATATATTAACCATACTTCAATATAGGCTATAGGCAAACGTATTAGGCTGGAGCCTATTCCGTCCGTGCTCAAGCTCGCGCATAAAGCAATTGCCTCAAAGCACCGGAAAAGTGATTATGAACGTGTCGGGGGAAAAGAAGACATTTTAATTATTTATTAATAAACTAGTGCTTTCTGAGTCAGTGTCGGGTGCAAAGATGAGAAATTACAAAATCGAGTGGGCGAGTTTTCCTTGTATTTATTTTATTATTCATATAAAAATTATAATAACCTGTTTTGGTTATAATTACTATGAATTGCATTAATCGCTTCTTAAACCAGAGAAGGTGAACTTGTGGGGAAAGAAAAAAAAAACCCTGCAAACACTGGGCAAACACCCTGCAGCAAGTTTAGTTTTACTTTTCTTTTTGTTTTGTTTTCATTTTGAAAAGCTTATCTTTGCTGTTTACCTCACGTTATGCTATGGAGGCTAGGTTTTTTTTTTTTTTTGATTCCTCGGTGTTTGCTAAATGTTCTGTAATTGATTAGTCATTACCCAGCAAACATTGGTCCGACGGCAACGTCGTGTCCCTGGCCAAAAATAGTCGCGGTAGGACGGCATAAATCGGTAAAAATATGTAACACAGAACATTTCCTAAAAATGCATTCAGATACGTTTGTGCATCTCTACAGTTATCCTAAACCCAGTCCCCAAGTAAATTAGGTTGTTAAATAAAAAACTAGCAAAACGAGTTGCGCAGTGTCCCCACCACTTTTCAAAGCAAACTTACACCACTGCTACCAGGCTCAGGGCAGCGTAACATAAATGGGGAGGCCACGCACAAAGTTAACTCAAAATAAACATGTTTTAACGTAATTTATACTAAAGTTAAACCCAAAAAGGGAAGAGAAAATAAAACAACAAAAGATCAAATATTAAAGAAAGCTCAAAGTCTGGTGCTGGAGAGAAGTCAAGCTCAAACGGGGCACACCACACCGGAGAACAGAGATCTATGAGGGGCCGTATAGGCCATAATTATTGAAAAGCCTCTAACAAACACTAGTGAAATGAAAAACATTGATAAACCTTAGTGAAATTCATTCATATGCATTATGAAAACCTCTTACATAGGCCTACACTAGTGAAAACATTGATCAGCCTTAGTGAAATTCATTCATAAGCATAACTGAAAAACCTCTTACAAACACGAGTGTAACGAAAAGATCAACCGTAGTGAAATTCATTCATAAGCATAACTGAAATAAGTAAAGATTTCAGTAGATGATGAGAGCTAATTTCACTTGAAACGGAAGCTGTGTCAACACTTAATGATTTACAATACCTAGTCCTCTTAGAATTAAAAATGTTTTATGGATTCATTCATCAAGGCATTAGATAAATTTTACATTTAAAGATATTTGTGTAACTGTAGCATATACTGAAAAAAATGGGTATAATGTACTGATAATTTTCTGCCAGGACATTATATTTTAATTTTCCATTGCAGGAAATACGGAAAATAACCATGTTTTACTAAAGAGTAGTAGGATTAACCATGGTTTTTGGCAGATTGTAATTTGTTTAACCACAGTTTTACTACAAATATGGTTATGGTGTACCATGGTTAATTTTCATAAGTTTTCCATTAACCCTAAAACACAACACAATGCAGTGCAAAATTAAAAATACCACCATATACAGTACACTGTATTAATGAAATTGCAATGTGAAAGTTAAATAAGCTAACACTGACCGTTCCCTGGTCTTATATATCCTATATTTAACAATGGGATTCAAATTTAAAATGGTAACTGCTGAATAGAAATTGAAAACAATAAAGTAGCCTACTAAATTAAACACTAGTTGGATGTGCTAAACGATGTTGGACGTGCTCCTACAGTAGCCTATTATTAAAGTATCTGCTACATGCAGTTTTTCAAAATACAACTATGCTGTTTATGTAGTAGAAAGATAATAAGCAAAAGAAATGTAATAATAAATCAATACTGATTTGGGTTATGTTATGTGCAGGGAAAATCACGAATTTCTGTGAAGTATTATGAAGAGATGCTGATGTCCGTGCTGTCAGCTCGGTGGTGCTAGCGAGCACGTCCTCCCCGCGCTGTCGAGTCAGTTGCAGAGCCGCGCCGATGACAGGTCACCACGGCACGAGCTCTGTAACATCGCGCTGTTTTGTCCGACTTTGAATTGTACTTGACGACGGTAAAATTATGTTTAAAATATTAATAGCTTCAGACAACTTACGACTAACTGCCATTGCCTAAAATAGTTTGTGAGACACACGCCAAATTAAACGGAAGTGTTGACAGCTTCCGTTTCGAGTGAAATTAGCTCTCATCATCTACTGAAATATTTACGTATTTTACTTATGCTTAAGAATGAATTTCACTAAGGTTGATCAAGGTTTTCACTAGTGTATGTAAGAGGTTTTCAGTAATGCAAATTAATGAATTTCACTAAGGTTTATCAATGTTTTTCATTTCACTAGTGTTTGTAAAAGGCTTTTCAATAATTATGGCCTATACGGCCCCTCATAGAGATCCTTTAATCAGTCAACTCATCATAGGTAATCCACCGCACCTGCCGCTAGTCTCCACCCTGCAAACAGACAAAAGAAAAAAACACAACACACACAAAACCAGAACCTAGAACGCCACCTAGAGGCGAACAGATCCCATTTAGGGAACAGGTGATACCCCGGGTCTTAACACTATTATAGAGAGCATGGAATTTAAACACTAGGGGGAGGTTGTTCAAAAGTAATCTGATTGGATTTCGGCTATCGGATTGGATCAAATCTTGAAAATGGCTTGTTCAAAAGAAAAAAAAGAAAGAAGTCTGAATTCGGATTAGATCACAAAATCCCATCTTGGTTTTGATCTGGATTCAATTGTCAGTTTGTGTTGTTCAAAATGATTGGGATACCTTTGATCCAAAAAAATCAGGATATGATCCCAGCAGAAGGGTGGATTTCAGGAACAAAAATGTAATAAAACTTTAAAACTGGTCCAAAATAAAATTTGTAACATGTAATATATCACCGAATATCAAACAAAAATATCACATTTCACTTAAAGGTTTTTATTTTTTTATCACTGTTTGTAAACTACATTGGCACAATCATCAGAGATGAACCAGCCAGAAGTAGTTATTTGTGTAAATGCAATGCAAAACATTTCTGAGAGAATGCAAAAGCATTGACTTTTTTTTCATCTCATACAGTATTTATTTTGTATTTTTTCCATCACCACGTCCCTTCAGGGGTTCCGTAGAGCATTAGTACTCCAGATTTGGTAATCTGAAAAAGGGTGTATCTGGATCATTGTGATCCAATCCAATTAAACCAGCATAAAAGTAAGATGGATTACCTGATCCTGGATATCAAAACGTGCAATTTCCAAATCCAGATAATTCTGATCCAGATTAAGCTTTTTGAACTTGGATCCTGGCCCTTGAACCACATGGGACACATTAACTGTTAAAAGCAAAACTTGAACTGCTGAACTCGGAGCAGGCATTTTGAAAGGTACACAACGTAATGTTTAACAAAACCAGTGTTAGAGGGGTATTACATTGCATCCCTCTCCCGCCCCGCAGGCTGTCTGGATGCCTAATTAGAGAGGAAGGTTGTGCTGCCCTGGCTTCAGCTCTGAGATTAAACCCTTCTTATCTGAGAGAACTGGATCTAAACTGGAACAAACCAGGAGACACCGGAGTGAAGCTTCTTTCTGTTGTACTGAAGGATCCACACTGTAAACTGGAGAAACTGCGGTAAGTGTTTTTGTTATGTTACAGAATAATAGAAATAATTACACAATTCTGTCAACACTAACCCATAAATGGAAATGTATTTAAAGTCACTTTTTTTTTTTTTTTAGCAAATATTAACTTTTATTCCTCTGAAGGCCAGTTGAGTTGAGAACCCTGTGCAGTTAAACATTAACAGAATGAACAAATGCCAAAATAATTAAACAAAACAATGACATAAACATTGAACTGGCTTGACTTGACTATAAACAGATTTGATGAAACTCATCAAAAAGGGTTATAATAACAAAGCTAGACAAGAGACTAAAGGGTAACACTTTATTTTAAGGGTCCAGAACTATGCATTAGTTAAGCATGAACACACTAGTAATTAATGATTAGCTTAACATATGGGCATATCAGCCATTATTTACACCTTAGTAAACCATATTTTATTTTTGTGTTGTAATGCACTTGGGTATATCTCAATTATTCACCATCTATTATGTTAACTGAACATTATGAAGCTAGTAATTATGTTTAATTAATGCTGGCTTTACCGTTATAAATTGCTAAATATTGTAATAAAGACAATTGACCCCCTGTTCTAAAGTGAAAGTTATATCCACAATAATTATGGAACTTACTGAGTGATATTCAAGTTTATTGACCAGAATTAGACAATTATTATAGCTAAACTGCCACCAATACAGTATTGATAAAGACAATTTGACCCTCTGTTCTAAACTAAAAGTTATATACACATTAATTATGGAACTGATTGACTGGTCTCATAGTTATGTAGGTATTAATATGGAACTTACATAATACTTTTTTGTTCGTTCGGATAGATGCTGAAATGTTCAATATGGACATATTTAAACGTAAACAATATTACGTTTTTACAGCTAGAAAATGTTAAATATTTACAAATCTTTTATCCACCTTATTCTTCAACACGGAAGTAAGCCGTTTTCTGGGAATGTGCGGTTCATTAGCCGCCATAGGGAAATAACGAAAATAATAACAGTGCAGTAAACTGTAAAACTGTTTGCACTACAAACCAGTGTGTTCATAATTGAGATAATATTAATAAAAACAATTTGAGTAGCAATATAGCATTAAAAATATATTTTGAGCCACTAATCCCACTCAAACCTCTAAGCCTTACCATAACCTTTTCTTACAAACATAACAGACAGTCAAGTGTAATCATAATGATTTATTTATTGTGACAATGTCAAAAGTGGTACCAAAAGCAGTCCAAATGACAATGTGACAATCAATGAAAATGGTATCCCGCTTCGCTTCACTCCTTGAAGGTGGCAAGGCACACCCCGCGTGTGTTTATACGTCTATCCCTGCATCCCAATGTTCATACTATCCATCCTAAATAGTATGTGAGATTAGAGTAAGTGTGTCCCTAAGCATAGTATGTTGAAAAGAGTATGCCAAAAGAACCTGAATGGTCTACTATTTCAGGTCGATTTTTGAAGTGTGGATGCGTGCACACTCTAATGGCTAATATTACCCACAAACCATTGTGTTTTGGTGAAGAATTTGACAGAACTACAAACACGAATAAAAAATGTTAAAAAAAAAACTACAAACATGGTGGATGTGCGCCACCGACAGTTAAGTAGAGAGGTTTAAATAAAGGGGTTTGAGTTACTAATAATCAACATTTAACCTGGTAAAATATTTATTTAAAGGGGTCATATGATGCGATTTAAATTTTTCCTTTCTCTTTGGAGCGTTACAAGCTCTTTGTGCATAAAGAAGATCTGTAAAGTTGCAAAGACTAAAGTCTCAAATCCAAAGAGATATTCTTTATAAAAGTTAAGAGTCAGCCACACCTACCTAAAACGGCTCGTTCTAACACGCCCCCACATGTCTACATCACGATGTGGGAAGATTTGCATAACGCCGCCCAAATGTTCACGCAAAGAAAGAAGGCGTAACTTTTATTCTCACTGTAGTATTGTTGTTGCCGCTGACGCCATGTTGTGAAGGCGCTGTGGTGCTGTGTGAAACTACTTTGTTTGGCCTTCCAAAAGAGGACGATATCTGCTGATCCGTGCTGGTTGCTGAGGAAATACATAAACTTCGCACTGTGGATCGCCGGATCGGCTTTCACCGTGGACGAAGCGGAGTCCAGCCCAGGGTCGTCACATGTGGTTGCCGCAAGCCCTCCGGACGCTCCTTCGTCAAATCCGCCGGCCGCGCCGTTCTCAAGCCCGCCCACCTCTGCTCACTCAAGCCGGCCTCCGCATACTCTAGTCCGCCGGTCATTCTAGGCCTCCGGCCTCCGCTTGTTGTTTGTCATTTCTCCGATCACAAATGCAGACATGGTTTTATGTTTACGCGGCACGATGCAACGTGTAAAAAGACAGTATAAGTCATTATAATCCGTAATTATGTCCCCACTGGATGCAACAAATGCCTCGTTTATAATGGGTTTTAATGTTTTTGTCTCTTCACAACGCACTGGATAGCTGGCCAATCAGAGCACACCTCGCTTTTCAGACCGATGAGCTTTGTAAAAATCGACACGTTTCAGAAAGGCGGGTCATAGAGGAGAAACAATAATGTACAGTATGTGGAAAATTATGTGTTTTTTGAACCTTAAACTGCATAAATACATTTCATTACACCAAATACACAAAATAATGTTCTTTTTAGCAGCATCATATGACCCCTTTAATGTTATCTGTATTATATTTTTTTTATCTGCAACAACAATGTGAACATTTATAAACATCCGTTTGGCCATTAACTTTCAAATGCATCATTATGCAAAAAAAAATCCATCGCAGGCAGATCAATGTGCTACTTCTTTTCTCTCTAATACGGTAGGAAGTTAAATGAAATGCAATGTGGAGGATGTGAACTGTGACAAGATGATTGACAGGCCAGTTTACAGTGACCTCGTGCGTGTAATTATGCGACAGAGCGGTCCATTAAAGACGCAATTGTATAATGTGATAGTATGTCCCAAAGCTTGCATACTCTTCTACTACACACTCAAAAGTGTGTACATTTTCCTCACCAAAAGAGTGCATATTTTAAGGGCGTAGTATAAGTAGTCACATTGGGACGCAGTATATGATTCAAACCAACATTAACCCCCAAAACACGGCATATCGCAATCTTTTGACGAAGCAGGCGATAGCAGAGATGTAAAGAGTACCTAAAAACCATACTTGAGTAACAGTACAGATACCTTACAGTGAAAATTAGTCCACTACACGTTACAAGTAGAGGTCGACCGATAGTGGATTTTGCCAATACCGATAGCTAGGTTGGACCATACTGGCCGATACCGATTAATTAACCGATTGTTTTAAAATTGATACTGAACAAAAACTAAAATAGTGCTTTATTAACAAAAATAGTACTGAACCATACTAGTAGTAGTAGTAAAAATAATAATAATAGTAATAGTAAATGTTGAAATTAACACACTCTAACAAGGAACAATACTTACACAGCTTTCATTAATCTTAATGCTACAAATGGACTCTTATTTTAAAGTGTTACCATTTCATTTCAACTGTCATGCTTAAAGATGCACATCTTTAAATATATACACAAAGGCTATAGCATTAAAATTATATACATATGGATATTGTGTATACTCTCACACTTTAACTGCTTCTATTCTTGAACACTTGATGATTATCTAATCAAAATAAAAGCGCAGCATAACCGATAGTTACAGCAATCAACTATCGGTGCCGATTAATCGGCAAAACCGATACATCGGTCGACCTCTAGTTACAAGTCACCAATTCCAAAACAACTTGAGTAAAAGATTTTAACAGTACTTAAGTATTTTATTTATACTAAATATAGGCTCAAAGATGCACCAGTCAAAAACTATAACGTTGTGGAGAAGCTGTGGAAAACAGACAGAGGCAAGGATCTATGTGCAGATATTTAATGGAAAAACTAGGAACAAACACTAGCCAAAAACCAAAGAGAACAAAGAACAGAATGACTGGCAAACAGACAACCATTACATTCAACAATTCACAAGGAACTAAAGAAAAACTTGGGCTATATAACACACAGGGGGCTAACAAGCTTAACAAGATAAGAAACACCTGGGTAGACTAATCAAGGGGAACAAATGAACAAACGGACTACAAACACCACGGGAGACAGGACGTGACATAAAAGTCCAGGGCAAGGCACAGAGAGCATGAAACACAAACAAGAAAGAGTTGATTTATGAGGTGAGCAATCACGTTTATTTTCTAAAACCAAAATAAAACTGAACACCTTGCAACACTCATTTCAAATGTAGTGGACTAAAGAGTACAGATACTCATTCAAAAATGTAGTGAAGTAAAGAGTAAAAGTTGCTAATATCTTTGATACTCAGTACAACTACAAAGTACCTGAAAAGATACTCAAGTACAGTAACTAATTACATTTACTCCAATACTTTACGCCTCTGGGCAAGCTCTTTGCTTTGAATTGTTGAGTAAAGTCGTTATTTTTATTTTTTTGTGCACAAAAAGTATTATCATAGCTTCATAATATTATGATAAAAATATCTTGAGTTGTGTTCCGAAGATGAACGAAGGTCTTACGGGAAAGGCATGAGGGTGAGTAATTAATGACAGAATTTAAATTTTTGGGTGAACTATTCCTTTAATTCGGCATTCACACTCTGGGCCCTATCATACACCCAGTGCAATACGGCGCCAGGCGCGACGCAAGTGTTTTTTTTCTAGTTCAATCCAACGCAGTTATCATTTTCACGTCTTGCGCCACGTTGTTTAAATAGCAAATGCATTTGTGCCCTTTTGTGCGCCCATGGGTGTACTGGTCTGAAAACGAGGTTTGTTCAGGCGCATTGTTGGCACGTTGCTATTTTGAGGCAACTGAAATAGACTGTGCTTTTGACCAGCTGAAACCTGGTCTAAATTCAATGGCGCAATATTTTTTTTATTAATTAAAGAGCGCGTTAGTAATATGTGCCCATAGGCGGGGTGAACAACGCACGTACACTCTGC